GAGTCTCTGAGTTTCTAGTGGAAATCACAGGCTGATCGGGCAAGGAGCACATTAGGAGCCTTAGACATGGCAGGAGGTGGGAGGTGGGGCCGGCCCTGCTATCACAGAATCATGGCTATGGGCAGAGGATGAGCTTAAGTCCTCAGAGCTTAGTTCCTCCTAAAACCAAATGTATGTTAGTGAAGTGTGGACACTAGGGTGTCTGCCCAGCCCACCTGCTTAGATCCAGATTCCTGCCCTCAGCGTCTGGACCTGACCCTTGGATATTGATAGGGTTCTGCTCCCAGTAGCCCTATACGCGGTAGCGCCTGGACCTCTTGGCTGCCTTGCCATGCTTCTGCTATAAAACTGGGAACTCCCGATTCCTTAGATGAAACTCAAACTTTTGGCGAACCTCTTTGTTCCAGAGACTGGGCCTCTGGCCACCTCCCCCAGGGCAAAACCTGGAAGGTTTCTGCTCCTTCACCAGACTTCTGAGTTTTAGCAAGTCTGGATGCTGAGGCTTCTGGAGTAGTGACAGAGAGCACATGCTCTGTTTTCTGAATCTTTCTAGACCTCTTCATTGGGTGGTAATGTTTTTAAGCAAAGGGTCCTGTTTTACATCTAAGATCCCTTTAAGGCTGCTTGGGGTAATGTCTAACATACATGAAGTGCTCATTGAACATTTGCTGATTAATTGCAATTGCTCTTCTCAGCCTCCTCAAAGGCCTGGCTCTAGGATTCACTCATTTAGTCATCCATTATCTTCCCACCCATCCATCCATCCACCCACCTACCCAGTGATATAATATCCATATCTGAAAGAATGACTCCATGTCCTCTGTTTCCATCTCACAGACTGGGGAACAGATTTTTACCCTAAGCATTTAGTCCTGGCAGAGTGGAGTGGGCACGTTTTGAAGGTGAGGCAGGGGATGACAAAGTGAAGGCCCATCTGCTCTGCATACGTTGTCATGTACTGACGTCCACCAGGCAGGACTAGGCTTGCAGGTAGGAAAATGCTTCTATTCTTCCCAAAGGGCTTAAAATTCTACAGCTGTAAGAACTGATATCTATCTTTGCAAGGTGTGTCTCCACAAATATGCTTTGGATAAACCTTTTTTTTTTTTCCCAAAGATCTCATTTATTTATTCATGAGAGACAGAGAGAGAGAGAGAGAGAGAGAGAGAGAGAGAGAGGCAGAGGGAGAAGCAGGCTCCGAAGGAGCAGGGAGCCCGATGTGGGACTCGATCCCAGGACCCTGGGATCATGACCTGAGCCGAAGGCAGACGCCCAACCATCTGAGCCACCCAGGCGCCCGCTTTGGATAGATCTTAAAGGGTAAAGAACGGATGTGCAATCTCCTACTGCCCCTGATATGTGGAAAGGGGACCGGCCTGGGGATGGTGGTTGGAGCCCACTCTGGGGTTACTGCAGACTTGAGAAATAAATGCTGGACTGCCTGATGGGGGCAGAGGTGGGCTCTCCGGTAGGGATGGAGTTTCCCAAGGGGTGGAGAGAGAGCTCCAGTGTGGATTTGGAGGGAGAGACACCCAGAACGATGCCAGCGTGAGGACTGGGAACAAGGTCCATCCCGGTGGGATGACACCAAGTGGAAAGCCTTTGTACGAGGTTCAGCTCTTAGACACTTCGCCTCTGGATATGGTAGTATTATTTTTTTTTTTTTAAGAGAGGAGGAGGGGCAGAGGGAGAAGGAAAGAGAATCTTAAGCAGGCCCGAGGGGGGTTCAATCTCACGACCCTGAGATCATGACCTGAGCCGAAATCAAGAGTCAGATGCTGAGCCACCGAGATGTCCCTAGTACTACTCACTTTTAAAGTCTTCTTCCTCATAGGCTGTGGCTTTCTCCATGGCTTCCGGTGGATCATGAAAAGGGCGAATCTTGGGCAGGACCGTGGGGGCGGGGTTACAGAGGGCGGGGGCGGGGCTCTGCTCTCCGCAAACAAGGCCGCCGCGGCAAGCTTGCCAGGGGGGCGGTGGAGGCAGGAGCAGCACCCAGTTTGGAGCAGAGGTAGCCTCCTTTCGGAAGTGGACAGGAGGCGACCCCTACTCTTTCTCGAATATACCAGAGAGAGTGAGCCCCTAAGGCAAAGGGAAAGCTGAACCGAGGGTGACCCGTGGCCGAGCACCTGCTTTGGACACTGGGGACATGCAGAGCATTAGATAGACATGGCCTCTGTGGGCCTTGCGGGGCTCACACACAAGGATAATCCAGTCTTGAGAAGTGCCTGGCAAGTGGCAGGTGCTCAGTGCGTGCCTCCTGAGAGGGGAATGAGCTGCAAGAGGGCATTTCAGCTGGGCTTGAACAAGCCGTGAAAGGCCGTCAGGTGTGAAAGTCCGTGGGTACATTTGGCGGGGGGTGGGGGGGCGGGACCTGATACACCTGCTCTACTGTGTGGCCCTCCTGCGGTAGGTTGCATGGACTCAGCGCATCTGAAGTGCCACGCTAAGTAGCTTACTGCATCCGCAATATGCAGATAGTCTAGTCAGCAGGGGTTCTCAAAGCAGGAAGGGGCATCAGTGTCCCCTGGGAACACATTAGAGCTACAAATTAATGGGCCTCATCCCAGACCCACTGATTCAGAAATTCTTGGGCGGGGAGGACCCAGCAGTTTTTTCCAATAAGCCCTACAGGTGAATGTGATGCGGGCCAAAGGCTGAGAAGCACTTGTGTGGAGGGAAGAGTGCCGGCCTTTGAAAGGAAGGTGGGCGTGCGTGGGGGGCTGGGGAGGGGGCGTGCGGTAGAAAACTTACCTGGGAAAAGCCCGTTGGGCTTGGAGTATTGCGCGGCATTGCGTAGCCTGTCCTCTGAGTTGTATGCATCATGATAGCCTCATTAGAGATGGAAGACCAAGGCTTAGAGGGGTTAAAAGACTTGCTGAGATCTCATAGTAAGTGCTGCACCCAATTCGGCCCAACTCCAAAAGTGAAGTAGGGTTTTTTCCTACCACCGTAGATGGCTGCTGGGGGGCTCCACAGCAGGGTGATGGTCTGGGCCGCAGTGCCTGAGGGGAGGGGAGGGGAGGAGCCTGAATCTTCCCAGAGGGCCTGGTGGAGGGTCCGTGCTGAGGCCAACGGGAGGGCAGGGAGGCCTTCTGCTCTTATGCCTCTGCCCAATTACTCGAATTTTCATAAGGTTTGCCATTCACACCGGGGAGCTGGGCTTGGCTAACGTACTTTCTGAAGTGACCAGCTGTCATCCCTGACTTCTAGAGCTGAGAGGTTAAGTGCGAGGTTAAGTGAGAAAAGCAAGGTGAAAAATTACCCGTATGCTGTGATTATAACTACCTTAGTTATTTTTAAAGCTACATTAAGAACACACAAAGGAAAGAAAAAAAAATGCTAAAGAAATTTTTTGTCCTTTTTTCCAAGTTGTATTAACGTGGTTATAATAATTTGCGTGACGACTATGCGTTTATTTTCGAAAGTGCAACCAGTGGCCTAGGAGACAACTCTGTGCCCAGTGGCTCTATTTTCAGGGCAGTGTTGGGCTGTCCTGCCTCTTGGAGCCTGTCCCCAAAGCCAGTGAGGACATCAGCTGGAGGAGGGCGTGGCCTGGGGGGCGGTGGGGACACAGCTGATGTCAGAGGTGCCTTGACATTTGCGAGGCTAAGCACCGGGGTCTTTGTGGCCTGTGGCAAGCCTCTCCAGACAGCTGTCACCTAGATGGCTTATGAGGGCCTCTGGGGCCACGGACCTGAGTCTTGCAGGTCATCCTGAGAACAGAAGCATCCAGCAGTGCAAACTCAGAGGACTGGCTCAGGCAGTCCTTACTCTCCAAACAAAGGCCACCCAACACCTTAAACACAAAATATTCTTTTATTTGTCAACGAAGGTTACACGGGATCACTTCTGGTTTTGTTTTTATGCATTTTTTTTTTCTAGAAGGTATCTACATCTGCCTTTATTTACAGCCTTGTCGGTATTTACACAGTCAAGAATACAGTGTTAGAAACACAAGTGTTGAGAAAAAAACTTCTCAAAATTAGTTCCAGACTTCAGGAAAACTATTTCCACATGGTAAGGCCAGAGTCTCCAGTGTTGGTCGTCCAAAGGCAGCTTGGGAGAGTCCTTTTGCCAAAGCTGCAGGTTCAGAAGTGTTCAAGAACAGGCAGGTTTAGAAAAGTGGGACTCTGGTGTTGGGTGAGTTGGGGGCTGCCGGGCACCACCACACATCTGTGACTCAGCTTCTGCTGGGACAGCTGAGCCTGCCTGAGGCTTGCTTCTCCGTTGGCAATTTGCCCTCAGAATCAATCACATGTTCTTGGGGACCAAGAAGTCACCCAGTGTCATGCCTTTGGCATTCCAGAGGGGGTAAGAAACCCAACATGAGCCCTACCCAGGCCTCCTCCCCACTCTGATCTTCCACATTCATGATGAAACCAAAGAGTTCGCCGCTGTCTGGGGCGGTTAAGAACACAGGGCTGGTTTTGGAGAATGTAAAGGTTAGAAAGGATAAAGTTTCTATCACCTGAGCAATGAGTCTTTAAAATGAGTTTGCTGTTTTTTTGAAGGTTAAATGAAAGGGCCTTGAACGACAGAGTTCTTTCTTTTAATCCCCTCCCTTCCAATAAAATGTAGACAAATGTATAAACCTAGCTGGGAATTATGAGCCTTAAACGGAAGGCTTTGAGTCCTAACAAGGTTCCCAATAGAAAGAAGAGACTGGGTTCTTCCTGGGACCTCTCTGGAGGGAGGCCCCAGCTCAGGACCAGAAGCCAGAGCCTGGGCTTAGTGGTTGCTATGAGGAATGGAGAAGAGATCTGACTTTGAGCACCAGGAGATCAAACCCCAAAGCCCGGGATCCTGCAGAGTCCTGGCAAGCTCCTTGCTCCTGGGCACCAAGCTCAGCATCCCTGCCCTCACCACGTGGCCACCACAACCACGAGGCTGCAGATGTGAAACTGCGTTCTAAGATTTCACCTTGAGAGCCCTGTCTTTGCATAATGGAAACTGCCACCTATAAAGGTGGTACTTAAAGGTCACAGCTGAAAAGGTCCTTTATACTGTTTTTTTTTTTTTTTTTTTTAAGCGAATGTGCTTCCTTGTTATGTGTCTATAAAAACACTGCCCAGGGTTAATCCCCTTCCTTGCCTTGCAGTCCCCTTCTGCTTCTGCCCCACCCCATCCTGATTATTTAAACCATTCTCAACTTCTGGTCACTTTCCTAGGGATTGTTTCAAATTCTCCACCACTAGGTAGACCTCAGGCACTGGGCTGTTCCTTGCGTTAATTCTCAGCCAACAGTTCTGAGAGACAAGCATCAGGGGCTGACAAAGCTGTAATTTACCAGGGAGTTTCTTCCCCTTGTCACAGCTCTGCCCTCCAATGCTGTCTGTCTGGAGGGTGGGTAAAAAAAAAAAGGAAACCTCATCCTATAAAAAAACCAAGTTGGGGCATCATTAAAGTCCTGTTTAAAATGATGGCAGAGGGGCTGAGGGTCAGGGCCCGATGGGAGCTGTGGAAGACAGGGAAGAAGGCAGGAATTCTTCCAAAATAAACCCTTTTCTAGGGCACAGAAGCTGACCTCCTGCAGGATCACGACCCTGGGCCAGGGAGGGAAGGCTGGTTGCTCCAAGAAATGAACATGTTTGGGTTGCTTATTGCCAAAAGGGCAGGTGCCACCAAGGTTGGGGTTTGATGCTTGGAGGCCACTCAGTGGGCACAGGGATCTCTCTGGCTTATGCCTTCAGACTCACTCTTGCTGTGAGATTGTGCCTGCTGGTCTCAGCAGCAGGACAGACTGAGAAGGGAGGCACTTCGTCACCTGCTGGCCTGATCGGAAGCCGACTCAGGAAGCCCAAGGCCAGAAGCGCCGTCTCCAGGAGCAGTAGTATGCATGTGAAATAATGCTGCCTAGCCCACACCTGACATCTTTTCTCTAAAGCTTGGGAATGCCTCAATTTCTCCCCGCACAGACGCTGGGTCTCCTCGGTGGTGTGTAGCCCAGGACGGGTAAAACGTTATTCGCTGCAACGGAAGGAACACACAGGAATTCTCTTTGTTTTTGATCTTTAGAAGTCCATACTATCACTTTGGTGGGGGGTCGGTGGTGGAGGCTCAGAGGCCTGGGAAGGTGTAGGGAGATGATTCATTCCCTTGGCTCTCGTGTTACCTCTCACCTCCAAGTAGATGTCCCCAGCAGGTCTTGACTAGTGTCAGGCAGCCAAGAGAGAACTGATCAGCTAGGCTACTGGGCAGGAGAGCTTCACCCAAGGGCTCCTTATATCAAGAGTATGCTTTGAGAGGCAGAAGTCTATTTTGGATTAAAAAAAAACATGTGTTCTTCAGGCCAAACTGCTGTCCCTCCCATCCAAGAACGATTATGCCTGATGGGAGCCCACCACCAGCTCCCAGGAACCACACACAGTGGGCCCCGGGAGCACCGCATCTGACTCAGCGGCACTCTGGACCCAGCGGACCAACAGGCCAAGGTGCACTGTCGCAGCAGTGTGACTGTTTTTGGAAACAGGAAGAGCACTTAGCGAAACATATCCTCTAATCCCGGTGGGATGACGTAAGGCGAAACCTCCTCTCCCGAGAAGCTGTGGATGCCCCCCTCTGCCAGGCAGAAACCAGGCTACACACTGCTCCAATTCTCGCGCGGTAAAGACCTTCTTGGTTTCATGAACTCGTGTAATATTCTGAAGACTCTGTGAGTAAGGCTATAAAGGCGCCATGAGCTTATCAGTCCAACAAGGTCTCCACGGGGGGATAGCTCAGACTCAGAATTCATTTTCCACACTTAATGTAAATGTAACCCATAGAAGTCCCATTTTCTAGGAAGCCCAGCTCAAAAGGAAGCATTTGGCTTCCCCTCCTGGTCTCCCAGAACCTCCTGTGAGTGGTAATGATGATCGTAATTAGGCAGATGAACCAGGAGCGAGGAGCTCCTAACTCTGGCTGTGCTTTCCCCTCCCCTCAAGGCTTACCTGGCCCGTTGGCTGCAGCCTTTCCCTGGTCAGGCCCTCCAGGGGTGGGTTGTGCCCATTCCCCAGGGGGTGAATGCCTCTTCCCAGTGACCTCAGGCCTAGGTCTCCACAGGGACAACTGTAGCCTGGCCCCCCTGCTCTGCGGGCATCGGCCTCAGGAACTGGTCCCAGCCCGGGGGCAGCAGGGGGGCGGGGGCTGGATGACACGGCCAGGTCACGCCCGATTAGCTCTGTCCTCTTCTCCTCAGTCTCTCCAGAGGGGAAGCTGTTTTAGAAGAACTTCACAGAAGGAATTCCTGAACACCTAAGCTGCTGCACCCCCGCTGTATTACTGGCCCACGAGTGGGAGGCAGAGAAGCCTTCAGGAGCTGGTTAGGAGACGCTTGGCTTATGCCTCCTCTCTTTGGCTGACTGTTTCTTAAGTCTCTTTGCAGAACCAAAGGCCACCAAGCACCTCTCTCCACACTCCTGTTTCTCAGTGGTGGAGCTGAGCAGTGGAGGGAAGATACCCCAAGTCATGGGGAGAAAGTTTCACCCAGGAAGGCAGGCTGGTACCTTTGCCATCCTTTTGCCGCGGGTGGCCTGCCCCTCCCTGGACCTTGTGCCCACGTGGAGGGCTTGCCGGGCAGTGCTGGTTCTCACATCTGACTTTGGGAGAGAGGAAGAGATGAATAATAAGGAACATCATGGGAAGACCGACCAACCACAGACATCCTGGGTGCCTCTACCTCTTGGGGAGGATGAGGCTCTTAGCCCCAGGATGTTATGTCACCAGACTGGGGGAAGGGACCTGGGGAATGCTCTCTCCATCCCAGCATGGGGCTGGCACCAACAACTACACAGGATTTGCAAAAGGGGTTGGGGGTTCCATTTAGCATCAAAATATAAAGCTTGGACAGGAGTTGGGGACAGCTTGAAAAAGGTGCTGAGTGATATCACAAAATTCCCCAGAGCAAGATGAAGACGTCTGCAGTCCTCCAGAGGCACAGAACATGGTGAGTAAAAAAGCCACCACTTGTCTGTGGGAGCTGAGCCAAAAATCCTCAGGTCCTGCAGACCCTCCTTCCAGGCCCGCCTCGGATGTTTGGTACTAGCCCGTGACTCTGCACCCCTCACTCCTGCCCTCCCCCCACGGAAGAAAGGGTTGCACATGAGACAAATTAGCACAGACACTGTGTCTCACATCACACTGGGTACCTAGAGACAGACAAGGACACACCTCAGAAGATGTGTCTCAGAGAGGAGAAATGTACCCCAACAACAGGGAAAAATCCTCAAGGAAAAAGGGAACAAAAGACAATAAAGTTTTCATTGTGATCACACTACAGAAAAAAAAATACCTTCTGTTCTGTGCAAAAAATGTGTGAAGGCCAAATTTGTGTTTTTCTTTTCTTAAAAAAAAATGTTGCATGAGTTACAATGCAACCAGTATTTTTGTTTGTTTGTTTGTTTTCTGCACTTGTTAAAAAAAGGATTTTTCTTTTTTTTTTTTTTTTTAAGTACAACACAGTCAGGTGTGTGGCCACAAAAGCGTAGCTGTCTTTGGCAAGAAGTGCAGGCCGGAGTCCTCTCTGTCACCTCCGGCCCATCTCGCTCTGTCTCATGAAGTGGATATTGTTGGCGCTGTCCGACAGTTCTGGGTACTGCTCCACGGAGATGACGAAGAAGCCGTCATAGCCTTGAACCCGCCCTGTGTTCAGTGCCTGCTGCTTTTCCCCCTCCGTCCAGGCCCTCAGGCCTTCCTCCCCTTCCCGAAGTCGCTGTTGCTCACGGGCCCACGCCTGGCTCACGGCTCTCTGCCGGGCCAGCTCCAGCACCCGCGCCTTCTCCTCGTCCAACGTCGTCCCGTAGCGAGTGCTCAAGCACAGCGCCCCGTACTGGAGCTGGATGTCTGTGTAGCGTCTAGTCCTGCCACTGAGCATCGTGTTGATCTGGGACACGGTGACATTGACCCCATTCTCCAGGGTTCGCCGCCCCCCACTGAGGCCCAGGATGGCCAGGTCGCCTTCTGAAGGCCCTGGCTTCACAAAGTAGTGGGTGTCCACCCCATCAATGGTGAAGTGCAGGTTCTCTAGGTACTGGGCGTTGTTCAAGATGGCAGCGACCCTCCGCCCATCCTCGTTGGCCACACTGATGATGTCTGTGGTCACTCGGCCATCCTTCAAGGCAAACTTGACCCCTTTGCCAAAGACCGAGCCACTGGATGCAAACTTCTTTGTCTCGGGCGCCTGTTGGCAGCTGGTGATCGTGGAGCCGTAGAGCTGGTCAAAACGTTCCAGGGTGACGAAGGCCTTGAGCTGCTTCTGCACTTCACACTGTACCCCGAGGATAGACTGATGGGGGAGGAGAGAGAGAGAGGGATGGAGAGAGAGAGGATGAGACAAAGGGGAAAACCTCTCCCTAATAGCCTGAAGACTCAGCTTACATTACTAAGTCAAATCTACACATATTTATTAACCAGTAGCATCTAGCCCTACCGCTGACCACTACACCATTCCACCATCCTTCACCCATCCATTCCCCCATCATTCCATTAAGAAACTGTTCAGGGAACATCTCTGTGCCAGGTCCTTTTCTGGGCACTGGAGAGACAACAATGAATCAGACAACATCCCTGCCCTTGAGGAACCCATCATTTAGTGGGGGAGAGACAGATGTGACACACAAAGCTATAATCAAACGTGATAACTAGTGGTCTAGGAGAAGTACTAGTCATACCTATAGCTAACATGTCTTGGTCTTTGAGCTAAAGAAGTCACATTCAGTACCTCATTTGATCTCCACAATAACTTTATATAGTAGGTACTGTTATATTACTGATTTTACATCTAAGAAAACTAAGCCTCTAAGAAGTTGTAATGGGCCCACAGTCGTACTGCTAGTAAGTATTCAAGCCAACATTTGAACTCAGGTCTGTCCGACCCTAGAGGTTCACTTTCAAGGGCTCTAGATTAGGGAGGAGCAAACAAGGCTCAGAACATCTCAGCCTGAAGGTGGAGGAATGAGGTTCAAGGACAGACTCATGCTTGAGTTGGAACTTGGAGGATAAGGGGCTGATGTAAGATGGAGCACTGGCAAGAAATGTGTTCTTGGCAAGGAGGCTTAGGAAGATGAAAAGTGGTGATTTATATAAACTCTCTTGCCCTGCTTTATTGTTCTCTGTCGTGTTATGAATGATTTTCAAGGAGGGCTCTGCCCCCACAGTGCTTCCTGGGGGCTCCTCAGATGCCCCTGCTCTTGGCTGCTTTGGGGGACAGATTGGGCCCTGTCTCCATGTCATACCACCTACCAGTCCCTCCCATGGCTCAGGGAGCCTGGCAAAGCCAGGTGCGGGTGGGCTCCGAGGCCTTATCGGGAACTCAGGGAAATGGCTTTAGAAACAGGCCCATTGGATTCTCACTGAAATTAAGTCCTCTTTATAATTAATAGAACCCTGTCTGTGAACAATTATTTCCTAGAGTTTCACGAAAGCTGGAGTGCTCAACAACAAAGATCTCTGATGCTTGCCAAGGGCGGAAATCAATAATTCATTGACAGGCGAGGTTGGCAAACAGGCCGTCTGAGACCGGGGCTCTGTGCAGGGGGGAAGGGAAGCCGGGGTTGGGGGGAGGGGTGAGTGGAGGAGCTGAGCTGCTGGAAGCAGCCCTGGGCACAGCCAGGCTGGCCTGGGAGGATGGTGGGGATTGGAGCCGGGCAGAGGGGCAGGGCTATGGCAGCAGAGAATAGCAGAAAGGGGACGGGCTCTGTGGTCAGACACCCTAGGGGTTCTCATCGTCTTTCCTGCTGAGTGACCTTGAGCAAGTCTCTCTCTGAGCTCTGGTCTCCTCATAAATGCTCACAGGGTTGTTTACTTCTTTCAACCATTTGTTCATTCAACAAAAGTTTTGGTGCTGGGCAGTGTACTGGGTACCAGATAAGACCCAGTGTTTGCCTTCTTGGGACTCAGAGTCTAGTGGAGATACAGGAAGAAAACAGGAACTCAAGCCAAGTGCGGTGAGTGCTTTGAAAGAGGAGAATATAGGATGCCTCCAGAGCCAAGAGGCAGAGTCCCGTTCTCCAGAGTCTAGAGGAAGGAGGCAGCTGAGGACTAATGGAATCAGGTTGGATGCGTTAAGTTTCTGGCTGCCAGTGGAATGCCATCTAACAACTTGGCTTTCTCCCTCCACTGGGATCCCCCGGGAGGCCTGCTCTCTGCCTGATACACTGCTGCATTCACTGGGTGCAGCATGGGGCCTGGAAGAGCCAGCTCCTACTACATATATTATGCAGAGGGGGAGGTGGGGGAGAGGGGAGGAAGAAATGAGCAAAAGGATGCCTCAAGTGAGGGGTGGGCTAAAACGGTTTTCAAGGACCTTTACAGCTACAGAATTCCGTGAGTCTTTCAAACTGGGTCATAAAAGGAACAGAAGAGAAAGTAACATTTGTTTGAATGCCTACGGACAGATCCAGGTTTGAATCCCAGCTCTAACCCTTCCCTTGCTGTGTGGCACTGGAAAGCCTTGGGCATTAAATCTGTACAATGTGAACAGTAACACCAGGGGATATTTATGAGTTAACTGGTGTAGAATCCCTCAGGCAAGTTCAGGTGCATTGAGGTGCTCGGAAAATACCACATTTGTATTTAGAACACACGTTCCCTCCTTGCACTTTTGCTGTGGGTAGTGACAAAGGCTCATTGTTTTTGTAGATTTCCAAACTCAGCATAACATGGAAAACTTAATAGGGCTTGTGAGGGTCTGTGCGCTGTTACAGTTGGGTCCACGGTGGCTTGCAGTGGTAGGGTTCCTATGTATTTGCTGAACAGTTTCGGGCAGGCTCTTGGGATATACCACATCGGTTTCTGTTACGGGTGCATGCTTTCCTGGCAAGCTTTGCAGGACCCACTCCTGTCATGTCTGAATGGCCTAAGGGTGGCAGCTATGTGTGCCAATTACCTTGCTGTTGTCCCACTCCTGAGTTTTCATCTGTGTGTGGATGAGCTCGTAGGATGGTTCCATGGCATCCATGTCTGGCTTGGGGTAGCCGGGAATCACGTTGTGTAGCTGGAATCCAAAGGTGAGGAGCCAACTGTTCACATCTGGGTGGGAGAGAAGCAGACATGTCCTCATGGAGTAAGTGGCCCTCAGAGGTGACATATCCCAATAAATTAGCCTAGAGTTAGGCTGCGGGGGGGGGGGGGGGGGGGGAGGGGGCGGGGTGTTGCAGCTGGGACAATCAGCTGCTACAGGCACTTTGGAAAACTGTTTCATGGTTATAAAAGCCGCGTGCACTCTCGGGAGCTGGTGTCCCCTTCCTGGGTATGTATCCAAGAGTGTATCCAGTAGAGTGTATGTTTCCAGATCCCCTGTTCTGTCACTCCATCTCCTGGGGCCTTGGCCTCACACCCGGGGGGGGGGGGCAGCTGTGGACCCTCTGTGTCCTCTCCTGGCATCCATAGGACATGTGGAGGACAGCCACACCCAAAGGGAAGATGTAAATGAATGCTTTCAAAGAGAAAATTCACTTAAGAAATAAGCCCTCCCTCCTCTCCCAAGTGACAAGATGGCCTGTACCAAAGCTCAAAGAGTTTCCCCCACGCTGATCATACCTTTCATTTCTTCTGGGAAGTGACTCGAAGGAAGTCACTTACCTCCCCGTGCCTTCATTTTCCAATCTTTAATATTGGGCTTGAGGATCTAGTCCCACAAGCACTGGTTTCATTGATGATGTTATAACATTCCTGGGGGGTTACTAATTACAAAATATTACGTAAAGGGACAGGGAGGATTTTGCCATGAGCCTTTGGCTCATTGAGGAACAGAATCAGGGAAGCCAAGATGTAAGGAAGAGAAAGAGGCTGGGCGCTGTGCCATCCGCTACCTGGCCCGCTGCTGCTGAATGTGCCCAGGAGCGTGTTACACTGACCCTCACCTTGCACACTCAGGACCCCGAAGGGGAGATGAGATGTGGGCATGCAAAACTTTGACACAAGAAGAAAAGATGAGAGGAGGGCAGAAGTCTTTTAGTTGGACAGGCTGACAAGTCTTCTCGGAGAAGGAGGCCTTTCAGGCAGACATTGAAAGTTGTGTACCTTTTGTCAGGCCTCAGCAGAGATGAAGAGGGTGCTTCAGGCAAAGACCGTCATACAAGGCAAGGTCGGGAGAGGGGAGGTGAGTGCAGGGAGTGTTCAGGTAACTGGAGAGCAGCTCAGCAAGGCAGAGAGAGAACCAGAAAGAAAAACTGGCTGGAGCAGGACAGAAACCCATGCTGTCTTCCCATTCGAGAACCTCACGTTTGCCTTTGTCTTTTGTTTGTTTGTGTTTTTTGGATGTCCCAGAGCCCCTCTGTGGGGTGTGAAATCTAGAGCTACTGGAGTGGAGGGAAGGTAGGAAGGGCAGCTTAGAAACCCAGGTTCTACTTCTAGAAAGATCGTGGAAGGGAAAGAGCATGGTGAGGCAAGACAAAACCCAGGTCCAAATTCAGGCTCCCCAGCTTGCAGACTGTGTGAACCGGGACGGTTGCCTCAACCTCTCCGAGGTTCTGATTCCGGATCTACAAACTGGTGGTAGAAATGGTTTTCACCAAGCCATGGAGAAGAATAATAGTGTTACCACTATTAGTGGTATTAACACTATTAACACTATTAGCTAATAGTGTTACCACTTTGGGCAGCCATCATACAGAGGGAACTGTTCTAAGTCTGTTACAGGAAGGACTGGGTTTCCTATACTATATTCTGAAGTGTCCAGCTCGGTTCCTGGCTGGTTTCTGTGTCCCTTCAAACCCGGGCCTCTGCATTCCCTAAACCCCCATTTCCTCATTTATGACATGAGGCCCTTGGACTAGTTTTCCTCCAAAGTCCCTTTCCTCACTGAGTTTTTGAGAATCTCTGATTCTATGAATCATGGCAGATGTTTTTTTAGGAAATTAAAACAAACAGAACACGGGGGAAAAAGTCCCCTACGAAGCCATTTTTGCCTGAGGCCGATGACTTGCATCTGAATTTGCAGTTGGAAAGGAAAACTTCTAGCAGGAATATTACAAATTCCCAGGAAACCAGGGGGCTGAAAAGAGGGCTGGGCCTTAATTATAAGTGATGGGAGGTAGGGACATTTCTCATGATGCCTTTAGGAAAAATGCTGAAAATGTATTTATTCACTGGTTTTTCTACAGTGCTTTTCTGAAGAGTTGGGAATTTTACTCTTCCTTTTTATGACACCAGAGTTAGACATTTCCCTCAAGTTAAAAAGCTCCTCTTTACCCGTCCGCCCCAGACTTCGGGCGTGGCCACCCGGGGCAGCGATGAATAACAATCCCTTTTACGTGTGCACACTACAAAGTGAATTCCATTCCCAGAATGAGGATTTTAGAGTTGGCGCTGATTTCCAGCACCAGCCTTGCCACTTCTCAGCGGGCCAGTTACGTTACAGCTCTGACCTTCACTTTCCTCCTCTGAGAATGGGGATCCCCATCTTACAGGCTTCACGGGAGGGTTACTGCAGTAGTGTGTGTGATGTATCTGAAGTGGCCGTCTTGTGGCTGCCTTCCCAGCATCCCATTCTGCCTTCCCGCTCTTTGCTTTTGGGGTATCTGTGTAGCTGTAGGGACGCTGACTCCATCTTCGGCAAATGAGCATGTGACCTAGGCTAAGCCAGTCAGCGCGTTTTCTCTCTCCAGCCACAGTGCGTGGTTCAGGGGCTGTCATGTGACCTAAGCCTATCCCATTGGAGGATATCTCAGGACCTTTGAAGAAAGTTTTGGAAAAAAGATGCTCTTTTTATTGGTGTTACTGCTGGGTGTGACTGAGGCTGCACATAGCTCACGTGGAAGCTAACAGGTTTGGGGGTGTCTTGGTTTTTAGTAGCAAAATGTTTTTCTGCACCATTTTTTTTTCCCAGCTAAACTAACCTGCCAAGATACCTCACAAGACACTCACTGGAGGATGAGGCAGGGGGCATGCTTGATGCAAATAGATGTAATGGAATTGAGCTCTAAATCTGTTAAGTTTTCTCGGGCTGCCAGCAAGTTGAGCACAGTGAGACTGTGGTTGGGATATTCCTGTTTCCCACAGGTCCCAAGCGTGTTTTCACCACCACACCTGCCCACCACTGTGTTCCCTCTTCTGTCCCACTCTGGGACTCCTGCTCTCAACATGACCACCAGGAATCCTCCAATCAGTGTCAGCAGAAACAGGTTCCAAACTGGGCCGCCAAGTTCGGGGGGCCAGGAAGACACTTCCCTAAGGGACACTTATGTGAGCGGTCCCTGTTGCCCTCTCTAGACTTCTGTATGTGCGGTCCTCTCCTTGGACTGCCTTTCTCCCCACTGGCTGATGAATGTCCACCGTGAAGGGGGCCCCACGCATCCGCTGCTCCCTGGGCAGAGACAGCTGTGCCTCCTGTGTTTCAATGGCCATCAGGGCAAACCTTCATCCCGGGCCCCTCACACTGGACAGCAACTGTCTCCCTCCCCACCGCTGTGTGCACTCCTGGAGGGCAGCAACCATCTTTCTATGCCCAGTGCCTAAAACAGTGGCTGCACAGAGAAGGTATTTGTTGAATGAAAATGAAACTGCCTTGAAATAGGGTGCAGGCATAGCTGGCATCACAGGAAAAACAGAAGGAGATGACCAGGTTTGCATGTCGGGAGGTGCCCAGTTGGTGCCAACAACAAAGTCTCTCTTATAAAAAGTGCTGGCTTTATCCAGACCTGAATCCCCGTAGCTGCTTTGACTCCTGGGGGTCTTTCGTGGCTGGCCTGCAAGTGGCTGCTTGCTGGCTGGACTGTGGCTGCTGGAGACATTTCTGGCATGTGTGACCAATGGGGACACTGATATTTCAGGTGGTTTCACAGTCATGGAAAACAAAGCCCACTTTTTAAATCCGGGAAGAAGAAAGTTAATCAGCAAGAGCCAGGCACTGTGCTAGGCAGGTTATTAAATGTATCTCAGTTCGCCCTTGCAACCATCTTTCTCTTTTTATCCCCTCTTCCTCCCCTCTTTGATTGAATATTTTTTTAGCCTTCACTTTTATTTCCACTATTGACTAATTAGCTATGTCTCTGTTTTATTCTTTACTGGTTGCTTGAGGATTTACAGTGTGCATATTTAATTTACCAGTGTCAGGTTCTAACTTTAATTTACAGATCAGGAAACTGGAATTCAGGGAAGGTAAGTAAATTGCGTGACTGTCCATTACATCATCCCAAATAAGAAAACTGAATTTGTTTTTCTTTAGCTATACCTTCATCCACCTTATTGGGGACTCATAGCCAGCCTGATCTCTGGGCCAGAAATTCCCAAACTGTATTCTCAGGGGTGTATCCAGTGAAATATTAGGGTTTCATGGTGAAAAAAGGAGTTTTATGCTCAAATGTTTGAGAAACAGTGGGTAAATGAATCAAACAGTTTTCTTTACTATAGGACTTCTCAGAGCCTTTCATAAGCTGCAATGTATTATTAAATTTTAAGAATGGTGGTTGCCCTGTTAAATTAATTTGATGTCAGTACCAGTTTTTCCAGGATATTTCTCTAAACCAATGTTTCTTAAAAAATGCTTTGGAAAACGCTGTTGTAAGAGAAAGTCAATGTTTCTTGTTACCCCATACCAGCTTTCTCAAGGAAGACAATCATGTCAGATGACTAGAGTTGTAGTGGGTCCTGTCCTCTGACCGAGCCCCAATCCTCACCTGTCATGAAGCACTTGATGTCCTGAGAGTTGCTGATGGGGTTGTTGTTTTTAAACATGTAGAGATTAAAAGGCATGATGTTGCTGCTACTAAGGTGCTTCCACAACTCGTGGTCTGGGCTGGTCCAGCGACCAGCCAGCACATCATAATCCCGCCGGCCCATGTGGATGAGCTTGGTGAGTGGATCGTAGAGGCCACCATGGTAGCCGATGATGATCTGGAAGTTGGGGTTGGTGTCCATGTAGATCTCCCCATAGGCCGTGTACAGAATCTGCTTGATCATCAAGCCTGTTCCACTGAAGACAGCAAGAGGGGTCCCGATATTGTCACAAGCTATGTAAAACTCGTCACCGCTGCTCAGCTCCATAGCAAAGAGGTGCCCCTGCAGATCGTAGTAGAGGGATGTGATCTCGGAGCTGGAGTGGTTGTAAAGGTGGGTGACCTTGGTGGGGTTGGTCAGGTCTGCATAGAAAAACTGCAGGTGGTGGCTGGGGCTGCTCTTGCTGGACACCCGCCGCCCCAGGCCATCGTAGCGGTACCTGACGCTCCAGCCACCGGCCCGGTTGTACGCCTTGATGAGCAGGCCAGCAGAGTTGTACTCGAAGACATCCCCGCCCCGCTGCCTCAGGAAGCCATCCTCGTCTATCTTGTACTGCACGTCACCCAGCCTAGTGATGCGGTCTCGGAGGTCGTACCTTAGTGGGGTAAGCCGCGCACTGTTCCCGGGGCTCAGTAAGTGCAGGTTCCCATTGAGGTCATAGCTGTATCGCCAGAGTGGCTTGTCATTGATGGAGACCGTCTGGAGCTGGCCGTCAGCGTCATACTCATAGGAGTAGCGGGTGGTATTGGCATAGGGTCCCACCTTCAACTCTTTCTTCACTACTCGCCCCATGTTGTCATACTGGACAGTCATCCAGTACATGAGGGAGCGGAAAATCTCATATTGCACTTCCTTCATCCGGCCATAGGCGTCAAAGTGTTTGGTGTGGGTCATGACCGCCGTAGTGATGATCTGGTTAATGTCATAGTAGATGACCCCAAACTTCCCGAACTGCTCTGTCTTGCCTGACACGTCATCATAGCGATAGAGATCGATGGGCAGCGGGGTCTCATTGATCACAGCCTGCATGCTGGTCACCCGGAAGCTGTTGTCATAGTTATAGTCAAAACGAGCATTGACCATGCCTTCCTCGGTGAAGCGGAAGATCTGGCGGTCGATCAGGGGCCCAATCTGGCGGTAGCGGATGGTGCAGGTGAAGCCCTCATTCTGTAGGTTGATGGTCTTCAGCATGCCTGCTGTCTCGTCATAGGTGAAGCTCACCTTGGTGGTGTCATACAGCATCTCAGCCAGCTTGGACAGTTTGCCATACTTGTAGACGACCCTGCGGCCAGTGCCCAGGTAAAAGGTGTGGAGGAGGTGCCCGTCCTCGCTGAAGTCCTGGATGACTGAGGCATTGCCCTCGGGTGGCTGGTAGATGTTCCTGTAGTAGCCCACAGACCGGATGGTCTCTAGGGTCTGCCGGGCCACGTTGGGCATCGTCACAGAGGAGAGGCGGTCGTTCTTGTCGAACTCAAAGATATACTGCCTCTGGCTGTGGAGGAGCAGCACCATGGACTGGAGGGAGAGGACAACAAAGACGTGAGAGGAGGGTGGTGGGGAGGAAGGGTAAGTCTGTGTGCCTAAGACTTAGAGGAGAGGAATAAACGGCCAAGGAAACCGGTGGTTCTCCTAAGTTATGCCCAAACCACAGCTTTCTAACCAGTGTGCCCCAGGATACTGCAGTGGGGATACAAATGTGCTAAGCTAAGGACTTCTTGGGGCGCCTGCGTGGCTCAGTCACCTGGGCGTCCGACTCTCGGTTTCGGCTCAGGTCATGATCTCGGGGCCATGGGACCCAGCCCCACGTTGGGCTCGGCGCTCAGTGCGGAGTCTGCTTCAGATTCCTTCTCCCTCCTCCTCTGGCCCTCCCCGCTCGTGTGTTCTCTCTCTCTCTTTCTCATAAATAAACAAAATCTTAAAAAAAAAAAAAAAGGATTTCTCTCAGCCCTTGGCCCTGGCTCTTGGGCCATCTGTCTTCCTACGGCGGGCAGCCTTGTCTGTTTGCCCCTTTGTGTGGTACAAAAGTGATGACTTCAGTGGGTGCTGGTGTGTGAGAAAGGTCGGGAACACTGATGAGGAGTGTGGCAGCAGCCTCTCTCCTGGCTTCCTTGCTTCAGCTTCCTTCTCAAATCGGTCTCCCTACTCAAGCAAGAACAATTTTGCTGAAACACAGCCTGACAGTTATCTCCTGCCTGCTAAATAACTTCTGTGGACTCCACGTGGCCCATGGGATAAGGACCACATCTGAGAAAGGCATTTAAAGCTTTGCATGATTGTTTATGTAGGAAACAGGTCATAGGCCCACGCTGGGGTGGGGTGGGCGGTGATTGGGAATGGGGGAACCTGATTCCTAACAGTGGGCTTATTGTGTGGCCCCGGGGAGGTTCCTTCCCCCTCTGGGTTGGGCTTTTAGGTATGTCGGATGACCTCCAAGGTCTCTCTTAGCACCACCACAGAACACGGCTCTTGGAGATGCTCACCCAGCACGGCGGGGAAGACTGAGTACAGACCAAGCACAGCACAGGCTCTGGGCAGGTGACCGTGAGCAGGAAACAAAGTAAAGATGTGGGTACCAGAATGGGGGCCTGAGGTGCAGTTCTTTTTTGGGAATAAGTCAGGAGGTAACAGACCTAGAGGCTTCTCAGCAGCAAAGCTCCCATTTTCTCCTGTTTGGGACCAACTTTTGCTTTCAGGGCTTTTCTGATTCCTAGCCCCTGGGATGCAATAAATCCTGACCTGAAGCAGAAGGGATTTACTAAAGTTACGCTCACCATTCAAAGCTCAGGATTAATTACCTCCTGCTTAAGGACTGATTGCTAGGCTTCTGCCCTGTTCTCTGTGACCAGATCACAAGGTGTGCCCCAGATCTGGGGGAAGACCCCTGCCTGGGTCTGCACCCTGAGTCCTGCTCTGTGAGACCAGTTAGCATTGGGCCTCTTCCCAGCTCTAGTTTATCATGTGGGGCTTGCCCATTCTCCTGCCCCCAAACTCCCACCTGCCAGATCATCACTACAATGCACCCAGATGCCTGTCGGGCTCCCCGGTCCCCTGTTGCAGATTTCTCTGAACAATTCCTTTCAGAGACCACATGGGTCTAATCCATCCCACTGAAGTCAGCAGGCTGGGCCTGGCCATGGGTCGAGCCACAACGACTGGCCTTCTGGATGGTAAGGCCAGTGATGGGGAGACGGACACCTGCCTTCTCTAAGTATGTGTAGCTCCACGTCTTCCCGTCAGCAAAGATCCTGGATGTGATACGACCCGCTTGGTCGTATTCCATCCTCTCCGACATGATGCCTCTCTGGACGCCAGCAATATGACCCCTGGGGGAGTACGTCACATTGACGCCATTCAACCTGCTGCTGGGTGACCAGAGGCTGGGCCGCCCTGCCTGGTCGTACAGGATCCGGAGGGTGAACTTGCGGTGGTCGTCATAGATCTTCTCGGTGCGGGTCACACGGTCAAAGTCCAGGGACAGGAGGTTCCGGTTGTGAACCTGGAGAAGGGGCAGGAGGAAAGAGCGAATTAATCTGGGCATGGGAAACTTCGGTGTGAGAAGGTCCTGAGTAGAAGAGGCAGCACAGGTCATGGGTGTGAACAGACAGGGTTTGGGTCCTGGCTCTGTCACCTGTCAGTTCTGTGACGCTTCCTCATCTGTCAAATGGGAATAACAATGCCAGTTACATAGGACTATCGTGAGAACAAAGACAATGCGGGTGCTGAGCCAACAGTGGCTTGTCCTGAAGACAATCCATATCGTCTCCTAATGGGATTCTTCTAATGAGAACAAAAAGGCAGATCCCTCTCGACTCTCTCCTAAAAGGGGAGAGGCCAGGTGGGTGCAGCAAATTCATGCGTGACCCCATTTCTCATGTGCCAGGCAATGTGCTAGTGTTTGGCACTGAGGAGACCAAAGCTCAGGGGCATGAAGGGGCCTCCTCCAGATCTCCTGGCTGGTGAGTGACTGCGTCCGGATGTGACTCTCACTACAGCCACATGCTGACAAATGCTCAGGGGTCCTCTGAGTGTGTCTGTCCCTTTTAGGGGCCTTGGACCTCTCAACCCCTCTTGCATCCCGCTTGCCCTCTGCCACCATAGTTAAGGCTTCCTGGTTACCTTGGTCAGCTGCCAAGGTGTTGTCTTCTTCCTGGAGGCCCTGGGAGGCCATGTGCGTTTGAGTCTAGGACAGCTTCTATGTGCCCGGGGACAGACGCAGTCCTAGCTTTGGGACATTTTGCTCCTGCCTCTAGGATCAGGATCCCCTTTGCAGGATCAGGGCTCCCACAAAGGTAGTAGTAAGTCAGGGTTTTTCATAGTTTAATAAAGAAATAGACTTCAGGGGCTTACTTCCGTATTGGGATCCACCCCGTAGGCACCGGTTGGCCCTGAAATACTGCCAGGCACTCCGAAGCTAAAATGCTGGCCCCCTCTGGCTGGGTACACTTTGTGACTCTTCCATCTGTCACTGGTTAAGTCTGACAAGTTGTAAGGAAAGCAATGTAGGTCTTGTGACTCAAAAGCGCACATGTGGGCCGTGGTAATGGGAGGCCCTGGAGGGCTCTGTGTGGTGAAAGCGCTCAGGTCTAGAAAGTAAGGCCAGGATCCCAGCCTCAGCGCTGTGACCCACCGCTTTTCTGTGTGACCTTGGGCAAGCGCCGTTGCCTCTCTGAATCTCAGTTTCTTCCTCTGAACCGAGATATTGTGAGGACTGAAGAAGCCTAAGTCAACTGCCTAGTGGAGTTCTGGGTAACTAGAAGGTCCTGAATTAATGATTGCAATTATTTCCATTAAGGCAGCAAATGATCATGGTCATTCTCAGGGAAAGTAGAGACATGTTTCCCCCTTCTCTCCAAACAAATTCTTAAACCTTGAAAATAAGGATTTATAATGATGCTGAAACAACTTCAGCTGTGAATGGCCTGGTTGTAATAAGGTTGCCTTCCCAGGGGTAATCAAACACAATTGCAGAGCAAAAACAGTGTGGCAGACAATTCCCATGAAAAATTGGAGGCGCTGGAGACTGAAGCTGTGTTGTTTGCCAGGAGGGCAAAGGAAGATGCAGGGTCCGCACCCCTACCAACGATGGGGGACATTTCAAAGCCTCTTTTGCAAGGTCCCCTGCGACTCCCCCCAAAGGGGTGCCACCCAGCCAGCTGCCCCCCTCGTCCCCTGAAGGGCCCCTAGTGAAGGGGAACTAAACCTCTGTGGCAAAATTAATAAAATTGAATTAAGCAGCTCACTGGGGAACCGCCTAATGCTTCCTGTGCTCGGCAGTGGCGGCAATGAGATTATTTTACATCTTTCTTTATTAAAAAAAGTTCCCAGTTGTATAAAAAATGAGCTCCATTATGGGGAGGCGCACCAGGCTAACATTCTAACTCCACATGCCGCCACTGTGGGTGGCCATTTATTTTGGGAGGACGTGGAGATGTGGCCACCCGACTGGAGCACCATTAATCTCAGGCTGGGAGAAGGACCAATTAAAGCCTGGGAAACTTTTGGTCCGGCTCACGCCGCAGACGGGAAGTCCTAACAGCACTAATCGCCGCCGTTTATTGAGCACCTGGGGGTCTACCAGCACCAGGCTAGGTACTTGGAATATATTGTCTTGTTTCCACAGAGGAGGGGGAGACTCAGAGCAGTTGCTCGGGGCTACACAACCAGGCCCAGGCAGGAATCAGACCAAGGTCAAACTTCCCCTTTAGCACATTGCCTCAGACGTGCCTGAGGGGCTCCCGGAGAATTCAGACAGGGGGCTCCGTGAGGCTGCAGAGGGTGGCGGGCCACCGAGAGCGCAGACAGCGAGGTCTGCCTCAGGGAACTAGTGGAAGGCTCTTTCCCACGTTCGATTTTTGCCAGAGTTCTTGGCCGTGCAGGAAACACAGGAAGCCCGGCTTTCTGAGTTCCCGTTGTGTGATGCTGGCTATGTCGAGACACGAGCCGTGCTGAATGAGGGTGCTTCTGTGGTGTTTAGGAGTCAGGAACATCTCACTTCTGTGGTTCCCTTCAGCCCAGCAAGTGTCTGCAGAGCACCAGGCATCTGCAAGGGGCTGTGCTGAAAGCCAGGGCCAGTTCCTTCGCTGTCACGCTGCCCCTCACCTTCCATTCCAAAGCCGGAGGGAAAAGAAGCTAGGCAATGGGGCCTGGCCTGGGTCAGAGGTAACACTCCCCAGAAGCATGGGGCGTGAGGCAGAGAACGGGCTGGTTCAGGGCATCCACATACTGAAAAGCACTCTGAACTGCCAGGCCCCACATGCCAACCCCCTGGCGGTGACGGCTGATGGGGAGGGCGGGGGGGGTTGTTGTGCTCATTTAGTAGGGGATAACTGCCTGGAAAGAGCGCAGGATGGGGCTTAGGTTCCAAACAGCTCCATGTGAAAAACAGTAACGACCAAAACAGTGGTGAGAATGGCAGGAGCAACGACGGCAGTAGGTATGACTGACCACTTACTGCGTGCTAGACTCCACACAAGGCACTTTATATACTATTTCTAATTCTTGTAGCAACTTGTAAAACTGATTTTATCCTTCCCATTCCTTTGGACAATGAGACTGAGGCTTTGGATGAATGAAAGGACATTATGGATCTGCTCAGATTCAGTCAGGGTATAATAGAAGCTGGAAACCCAACTCAGGCCCAACACTAAAGCCAATACTCTTTCCACAGGTAACAACTGAAAAGATACTCGAGACTTATTGTGGGTGTGTGGGGGGGGTGCCTACTTGACTTTCCCCCTTTTGCAAAAAGCCCAGGAAAACTTTTACCCCCAGGGCCAGTTTCAAGAATGGAACCTGGTTCTGCGGATTGGTCCTCATTCTCTCATTCTCCCCACCCCCCGCTCCCGCCCCCCACCCCAGCGACCTCCAGAGCTCCAGAGGCTGAGGCCCGACCCGACCACCTGACCTGCCCGGGGCTTGCTCACCCGCAGCCGGCGCCCGAACACGGTGACCTGGCCCCGAGCCTGCTCCTTGCGCTGCCGCCACTCCACCAGGTTCAGGCCGTTGTCGATGGGCAGTGTGACGTTCCTCTTGCCCACGGTGGGGTTGACGGTGCCCACCAGCAGGTGGGGCTCCGTCTGCAGCGCCACCTCCATGCCGTTGGCCAGCAGCAGCCGCAGGGAGCCGTCGGCCCCGATGTAGTAGCTGTTCCGGACCTGGTCTGAAGGAGAGGAGAGGGACCGGCTCTGCTCAGAAGGGCTGGGCATGGGCTTCGGGGGGGGGGGGGGGGGGGGGAGGCGGTGTACATCAGGGGCAACTGTGTTTTTAAATGGGTTTATTTTTCTGACTATGGAAACGGAACATTATCATTGAAGAAAGAGTAGGTATGACTGACCACTTACTGCGTGCTAGACTCCACACAAGGCACTTTATATACTATTTCTAATTCTCGTAGGAAAATAGAGGGAGATCGTCCATGATCTCATACCCAAAAAAAGCCATTGTAAATATTTTGTATATTCCTAGACTTTAGGATATTTCTGAATACACTGATAGCTCAAAGTAATTGCTTATGGTTTTTCACTGATCGTGGTATTGTACTGTTGAATATTTTTCATGTTTCTCTTAAAGATTGCATAGTATTCCATTATATGGAAATCCATAATTTACCTAACCAACTTTCAAGTAGATACTGTTTCCAGTTTTTCATAATTACAAAGTTAACACTGCAAATAAACATATTGTAAACATTATGCTAAGTGGAAGAAGTCAGACACAAAAGACCATGTGATGTATCAATGAGTCCATTTATATGAAATGTCCAGAATAGGCCAATTCATAGATAGAGACAGAAAGTAGGTTAGTGAGGAAAAGGTAGAATGGGGAGTGACCGCTAAATGGGTATGAGCTTTCTTTTTGGGAGTGATAAAAATCTTCCAGAATTAGATGGCATTAATAATTGCACAACTTTGTAAATATACTAAAACCCCCTGAATTGTATACTTTAAAAGTGTGAATGGTATATTTTTAATTTTTTTAAAAGGGTGTATTTTATAGTATGTGAATTACATCTCTTAAAAAATATACTTTTTGGATAAATCATTGTCTTCATTTTGGGTTAAGTTACTAGAACAAAGGGTTGAACATTTTTAAGGTTCTTAATATACACCAGGGTAACAATATTCTTTATAACAAGGTGAGAAATAACTCCAATACTTAAGTCATTGACAAAATGTCAAACATATGTATGTTTGAAGTCACTGTCATATATTTATACATATATGTGCATAGATATACCAGTGATTTAAAAATAGATCTGATTTTGAAATTTTAAACCTGATTGAAACATTTAAATTAGGATCTTTAGCTAAAAGAAACTTCTGGAGAAGAGTACATTTCAGCTATAAAATGCACATGGTTCTTTTCTAAAAGTGGAGACATCTCTGAGTTTGTGCTTCAGTCTTCTGCCTCTTGCCCTTCCTCAGCTGGTGCTTCCTCTCTTCAATAAATGCCAGCTCAAGTCCTCCCTTCAAGGCTCTGCTTAATTGTCATCTCTCCCCAGAAGCTTCCCCAGTTCCTTGGTCAAAACGAATGCCTCCTCTTCCCTTAGCCTCTTTATGGGCCTCACTGGTGGTCCTGCAGCTGAGGGGTTCAGGGCTTGCCACTCTGGTAATGAGGGCGCTCTCAAATACCTAAGTGCCCGTTGCGAGAGGGACAACTGCCCAGAGAAGGAGAGCATGACCTTCAGAGCTGGGCTATCAGGGTTCAAGTCCCAGCTCTGCCACTCTCTTGGGCAAATTCCTTAACCTCGCACGCCTGTGGTTCTTCATCTGTACCTTGGGGATAATAACTGGACTCTTACCTCGTAGGATTCAATGGGATAGTGACTATGAAGAGCTGAGAGTAGTCCTTGGTATGTAATGAGTATTACGTAAATGTTATAGCTAGTACGAGTTTCATGTGCTTGGCACTGTACTATTTGCAGTCACGGACATCTCTTGTCCTCTCTCCTCTACCTCCACTGCCCTGCGGCATAGACCTGTCCTAGTGAACTTTTCTAGTACTGATCATGGGTCTTCAATGGCTTCCCATGGCCTTTAGACCAGTGGTTAAGAGAATGGGTTCTGGAGCCTCTTTGTCTGGGTCTAAATACCCTACCAGGCGTGTGTCTTTGGACAAGCCACCTAACCTCTCAGTGACTTACTGTCTTCATTTGGAAAATGGAGATGTTAATAATACCTCATAGCGTTGTGGCAAGCTGAAACAGGACTATGAATGTAAAACACTAAAAATCTACTTTATACTTAATAAGTGTTCCAAAATGTTAGCTATCACTCGTATTATTGTATGTGTTCAGTAAACATTTGCTGGATTGGACTAGATCTATTACAGGCTATGTTAAGCAAAAAAAAAAAAGGTACAGTTTTGTAGGAAAACCCTTTCTGAGCCTTACAGGCGAGAACTTCCTCTGCCACTCCCTTCCCCCCTCCATCCTTCTCCCACTCATTCTCTCACACACACACAGAATCCTAAGATCTGCCTTAAACTTGCTATGCATTATTCACTGGCAATCTGTATTTTACTTCCTTTGAATGGTGAAAAAGTCTGTGTCATTTTATCTTTTAAAGCTGCTTCTTGCTGAATGCACATATGTCCATTAATGGTGACTTTGGATGGAATGGTATCTTGTAGAGGCCCGTCTCAAACAGTCCCCATTTAATGTGAGCTGTGACTCCCCAAGCCTGCCCCTCATTAGCAGCTGCTTCTTATTTCTTCCCATAGTTCAGACGTAAGATGAAGCTGAAAGAGCTTTTTATGAAGACTCTACTGAGGTGGCTGCCAAACGGAGCATCTAAGCCCGGTATGAAAGGAAAGGGAGCTTGGCAGGGGGACCAGAGAGGAAACATAGGTACTGCACTTCCTGGATTCCGAGAGGCATTTTTCCTTTTCCCACTTTAGTGTTTCTGAAATTGGAATGTGTCTTAAGTCCTTGTATGAATTTTGAGCAGTGTGTCTCCCCTCCTCTCCAAGCTGAAAAGTTGCTATTAAATCGATGGTACATTTTAAAAGTGAGGAAATGTGGTACTTTTGAATTTAAAAAAAGTTGCCTAAATATATGAAAGGCTGCGCTAACTTTTGAGAAAAATGCCGCAAGCCAGCTCAGAGGTGTGGGGTGGATAAGACAGTTCTTAACCCCAGGGAAGGACAGGGTGTCTGAGCCAGCAGGGGCCCTGCTGTCCTTGGCCAGGCAGAACCTGGCTGGCTCGGAATTGGTACCTTCTTTTGGCAATAACGCAGTCAGAGCATAAATACCTGGCGTATGTCCCAACCTATGCTACTGGTGCTGGTGGGGAAGGAGCTGCGGGATATCATTTCTCTTTCTCTGAGAATGGCTATTGTTCTTTGAGCTTCTTTATAGGCACACGATTAGGTTTGGGAGTAAAATCGGTTGTGAAAATATATAGTTATTTTCTTATGGTAAACCAAAGTACCAGTTATGAAATACTTAGTTCAGTAATCCAACAAGTACTGAGTAATTCTACGAGTCTGGCCCGTGGTGGTCACCCTATGTACAGTGTGTCAAGAGATCGTCTGAGCAACGGGTACGAGGCAGGTATCTTAATTCAGCCCCGTTTCCCAGACCCAGAGACTGAGGCTCAGAGAAGAATGATTCCACCCAATTCACACAGGTAGGAACCAACACAGTAGGCATAGGGACCCCGGTCTGTCCAGTCCAGAGCTTCTGCTCCTTGCTTTGCCCCATACAATTCAACATGCCCTCAACTTGCTTTCGCTTCCTCGAGGAGAAAATTGAGGGCCCCCACACCCATGACGTGGTGGCAGAGTCAGGAATAGAATTTGGGCCCCTGACTCCTAGCCCAAGGCTCTTTTTACTACTCGTGTCAAAGCTTTTGGGAGTACCAAAAGCCATCAGGAGGGTGGGGCAGGGGAAGGAAATCAAACAAGGCTTTCCCTAGGGATACCTTTTTTCTTTTTCATGCTTACTAGTGCCAACAAAGCTACAAACTCCACTCTGGGTCACCATGTCCCCTGAGGACAATTGAGGCAGATGGTTAGTTCACAGCAAGGTTTTGTCACTGTGATTTACCAAAAGCTAAAAGGCCAGCTCATACCAGGGATTATTTGATGGGTGCAGAGAAGAAGAGTCTCTTCTCTATGGAATCCTAGAGAAGGCACTTCTAGAGAACAAACTGTTCTCACCTGAGCTTCAGCAGAGACTTCTCCATGCCTAGATCCCTTTCATGATTAGGTGTAATTATTATTGTCCTTTGTCCTCACCCACAGCAGGGTGAGAGTAGGAACCGTTAGGATGGCGGAACAGTGAGGTCACCTGGATTAGCAGCTAGTGCACCCTCTACCCTTTGTTCTGATGATAATGGGATGAGACAATGGACTATTACTCTGAAGCTTCTGGGAGAGAATATACAGGACTCGGGCTGGTGTGTTCTGCACATTAGACGGCAATGCAGAGAGAAACCAGCTGTGACGCTTTCCTGTTCTTGGGCGGCTCTAGTAGCAGCTTATTTCTCACATCATCCTCTTCCAAAGGGGCCCCTTCACCCCTCTGCCTCGAAGTCCCCAAGCCCCCCACCTGGCTTACCTTGCAACAGTGTATAGAAGGCACCTGAAGCAGACAGGTTGGTGGTTATGGTGACATCATCCTTGCTGGAGGTCTCTACCTGGACATGCACTGAGCTGTCTGTGTCACTTCGGAAACTGCTCACCTGGCCAGTAGGGAAGGTCACATTTGTCAGGCGGCCAAAGCTGTCGTACCTGAAAACCAAGGGGTGGCTCTGAGTAACAGAAATAGAATGGTGCTATTGCTGGAACTTGGTATGTTCTACCCTGTGCCACAGTTGGGTATGTTCTGCTTTTCTTTCTGATGAGATACGTTGTCACTTCTCCTCCATCTCCTTGCACACGGTTTTTCAGGAAGTGACTCCACCTGCTGGTATCTGACTAGAGGTAAGGCAAATGACTTACCTCTCCGAGTCTTCCTTTGCTAATTCCATAAAGTGGGGATGACCCCTGCCCTGCCTACCTCTCAGGATTACTGTGGGGAACATGTAGGAGTGGCCTGTAGCTACAAACTAGTAGCCACCCATGCAGGGGTAAGATGATGGGGGCCATTGGAGACCGCTGACCCGGGGTCTCAGAGCTGGGGAACTCCCAGAGGTGAGGGGGCCAAACTTGATGCTTGAATACCCTCTCAAAACCTGACGACCCGTTATACAAGTTGTTCCTGAACAACACAAGAGATGGAGCTTCCTACAAAGCTATAGACCCTGGGGAAAGGGGGCTCTGAATCCAAACCAGGATCCTGCTGCCACATAAGGAGGCTAAACGGATGGGATCTTGCAACCCCTTCCCACCTCGATTTCACAGCCAGCACCAAGCAGTTACGCATCTGCAGTCGTCACAACTCACAGCTCTGCTCTGGTGTGGGCTTTCGGAAGCATGAAACTGAATCTTAATTCTCTTTTCCATTCCTGGGAATATAAAAGAAATGCCTGCCATTACTGGTACAGCGCTTCTCGTACCTTCTTTCACTTACTCCTTGCAACTTGTCTAAAAGGTATAAACGATCTCCTTTTTGGAGGAGGCTCAGAGAAGTGAAGTCACCTGCTCAAGGTCCCACAATTAGTGAGTGTGGTGGAGTCAAAATTCAAACCCAGATCTATCGGCTTCCAGGCTCCCACTTGTTTCCCTGCCCTCGCCCAGCGTTTCCGTGCCGTCCGTTTGCAAGCGTCCGCTGCGTGGGCTCTCTGCACGGCAGAGTGGTCAAGAGGTGGCAGGCAATAGGCTGTTAACACTTCAGTTATAATTTGTAATTGCGGGAGACTGGAGTATAAAAAGGTAGGTTTAATAGCCTTTTCGCCCTTGTGTGTGAATGGGAAAAGAGGTCTTCATCCAGATGTCAGTATTTCTGACTTCTGCTCATGCTCAAGCTGGCACACGGCTTCTGTTGTAGGTCTCCCCCATGGCCTCCGGGGCTCCCTACTGGACATTTCCCCCTGCTTTGCCCTTACTACAGCTGCTTCTGGGCCCCGAGGGATTTCGGGATGGTGAAGTGAAAGGCCCGAGTGTTTAGCGCTGTCCTGGCTCTTCCTGTGGTCCTTCAGCTGCGCCTGGCTTCCCGCTGGGACCCCTGGTGCTGTGGCTTCTACGGCTTCAGGTGAGACTTGGGAGGTGAGACCAGGCAGGCCTTGGCTGAGCAGTTTTCTGCCCAAGGTCAGATGTGGGTGCTGCAGGGATTCTGCCTTCTGCCAACTCTTTCTGTCCCTGTGCCTGGGACTGACCAAGGCACTCTTTACCCTGGCACAGTCGGCCACAGATGGAGTGCTGGTTAAAGGTCTTTTGAATGACTCACCCCAGTCCTTGACCGAAGACCAACTCTGGGATCAGTTGAATCTGTTGCTGAGGTCTGAGGAAGGGGGACGGAAGCCTTTCCAACATGGCAAGCAGCACAGGGATCTCTACCATATACCTTGGGCTTGGGCTTGGCGGGGCAAGGGTGTGGGCTGTATCAATCCTTCTGACTCTCCTACAGGCACCTTAGGGGCTTTGGAAACCTGCTTCTTGTCATGATTTCTCATTTCTTCCTTAGCACTGAGTCAGATTCTTGTAAGAAATCATCAGTCTGGCATCAGGGAGGGTGACGATGTGGCTTAAAACCTGGACCGGAGGGTCACAGGTGCAGGGTGCCCCTCAGAGCTGGGTGAGGAAGTGATTCTGTGAGACTGCTGCTAGGAAGGAGGGTGAGTCTTAGGATAAAGATCTGGAAGGTTTGTCCTAAAGCCTCTCTGTTCTGGAGATGCTCTCAGAGCTCTACTTCCTTTAACTCTAGGGGAGATGGTATTCTTTTCAACTCCTTATGGCGGCTGGAAATTTGAATAGGAAGGGATTTCACAAAAATGTTTAGAGTGGTTATCTCTGGGAGGTAGAATTACAGGTGATATTTTATATTCCCAAGATTTTAAAATAATGAACATGAATTATTTTCATAATCAGAAAAGTGACCACCCAAATAATGCCACATACAGAGAGCTCATGAACAAGGCCATCTTGGGGAAGTGGCCCTTCTAAATTACTGGCATTTATGGAGTGCCTGGGTGGCTCAGTTGGTTAAATGTCCAACTCTTGATTTCGGCTCAGGTCATGATCTCAGGGACGTGAGATGGAGCCCCGCATCAGGCTCTGTGCCAGGTGTAGAGTCTGCTTAAGATTCTCTCTCTCCCCTCTCTCCCTCTCCCTCTTCTTCCCCCTTGGCTCACATGTGCTCGCTCTCTCTCTCTCCCAAAGAAAAAAAATAAATTATTGGCATTTATGGAAGAGTCTCACTTATAGGACATCTGCCAATATCAATCTCCAGGCCTTTTCAGTAAATATTACTAGGGTACCCCAAATTTCTGAGCCCCAAATCAAGACCCCCAGACTGGCTCTGCTCTGGTCATCTTAGCTACATCTGTGGTCTGTGAGTAGGCTGAGTCCTGTCAGATCCCGAGCCATCTTAATGAGTGAATGAAAATGGAAGATCCATTTCAGTTCAACAGTTTCACGGGATGGGTATATGTTGTTCTAGTCTGGCTCTCTGAACACTTGTTATCCACATACATACTCTTTACTGAGACCACTTACTTAGACTATGTAATTTCCTGATCTAACCAGATACAAAAGATTTTATTATGCCATGCGAGATACTTAAAAAGGAGTTTTAGAGTCTTACTGATAAGAATTGATAAGGAGATCCCAGATTAGAGGGCAGATGTCACTTCAATCCTACTTTACTATGGCCTCACTCAAATGCCACCTCGTAAAGCCTTCCCTGGTCTCTCTCTTGTCCCTTCTCCCAGTGATACTCTGGTGCAGCTGCCTCACAGAATGGGTCCCCTGCGTTGTAACAGCTCATGTACAAGCTGTCGCCTGCTTCGGCCTGGGCGTGCTTGAGTCAGGACAGGACTGTGGAGTCAGGCAGGCTGGGAATCTGGAATCTACCACCTGCCAGCAACGGGACCCTGGAGGACTGGCTCTCGGTTCATCTCTTCTTCCCCAGCCCTGGGACTGGCAGGGAGAAGACGGGCAGGGAATGCTATTTGAACAAATAAAGGAATGCATGATTGGCTATGCGAGGCCCCTCTGCTGCTCTGTTGGGAAGGGGAGACCGTGATTCATTCAAACACTATCTCCTGCAGGACTTGACAGAGGCTTGACACACAGTAGGTACATGATATTTATCTGCTGAATGCGCAAATACAGAAACAACTGCTTTCACTAAATGATCCTTCACCAATCTCCGTAGGCATCTCCCCAGAGCTTTGGTCTCCAAGACAGAAAGAGCCTTTGCATACAGGCAGACAATTGTAATTATTATTGAAGGTGGCCTGCAATACATAATTAAATTGAGCTTGAAGAAGATACAATGAAAAGCCTCATGCCTTCAAGATCTGGTTTTCATTTTATACGAGATGGCCGAAAAACAGTAATTTCCACTCCTCACATTTTCCACTAGAGGGACTGAACGTCTTAATTAAATGAACATCAAATAGAACAGCCAATTTATAGAATTTTCTTGTCTCTTATTCATTCATTTCAGTGCCTTCTAGAGCTTGGGAAACGCCACCGGATCTCTCTGCAGCCTGATCCACACCTGTGATTACTCCATTGGAACACTGCTGCTTCTTCCTCTGCGGGGAGGAACTGGGGCTGCCCAGCCAGTGGGCCCTGGACACCTGTGCCCCCTGCCTCTTCTGTGGAGTCCTTTCTCTTCCTGCTGAGAGAAAGATGCCTGGTGCCCCCCAGTGAGGTGGGACAGTTCGCAGCACTCTCTGGATTCCAGGTAGCAGCCTCAAGCCCTGGCCCCCTGATCCGGTGCCTTCCGGACAATGGCTTACTTGTGTCTGTTTTGGCTTCACTTGAAGTACTGGCAAATTTCTTTCTTTCTAACCAAGAGGAAGGAACATGTTGACATGGCAAAGTCTTCAGAGCCAGACGTTCTGGGCTTTGACTACAGGCTCTACCCTTGCCAACACAGCAACCCTAGGAGGATGGGTACTCAGTTCTGCTTTCCCACGACCACCAACCCCATCACATCACAAATGATATGATTTTAGGCAGGTCATATACCATCACCTCTGGGAGCCTCTGTTTTCTTCTCTATAAAATGAAGATTGTGACACCTATCTTAGATACTGTGAAGTTCAAACAAGGTAACCTATTTAAAGTGAAATGCAATTTTTTTTTTTAACCAGGGCCTGCAGGACCCCATGAGACTGCCTTCCCTAGAATGTCAACTCCCTGATAGAAGGGCCTTTGGTCACTGGTGTATCCCAGAACTTAGAAGAGTGCCTGGCATATAGTAGATGCTCAGTAATGTGAATGAATGTTGGCCGAAGGACCTGCTCCTTCCTGCCTCTCTTTCCGATTTCACTTTGAACCCAACCCCTCTATCCTTCCTGTGTTCCACTACATCTGCTTCTGTTCTCCAAAGCTCAAGCCAGGCTCAGGGTGCTCACACTTAACTGTTCTTTTTGCTGAGAATGCTCTTCCCTCCAATCCTGGTGTGGCTAGCTCCTTTCATTACTCATATTTCAGCTCAAATGTTATCACTTCGGTGAGGCCTTCCCTGAAATAGATAGGTCCTCCCATCTTGGTCACATTATCTTTTTGTCTTCATTATACGTATTATCTTATTTACATGTTTATTGGTCTGTTATCTGTCTCTTCCTACTATAATATAAGCTCCATGAGAATAGAGACCTTGTCTGTGTTCTCAT